AGCACTCATACACATCCATCCCTTTCTTAGACGTTATGATAAAATTAAACAAACATACACTTTCTACCAGTCTATACAACAAACCCACAAACCAACATAAATTCCTGCACTTTAACAGCTGTCATCCCTTTAAATTAAAAAAATCTATTGTATACAGCTCATTTCTTAGAACCAAACGCATATGCTAAGACCATTTAGATTTTCTATACAATATTAATAACTTAACAAAACAATTCCTAAAATGCAAATACCCAATAAAAATAATAAAAGAAGCACTAAATAAAACTATCCTGATAAATCGTAACACACTTCTCACATACAAGAAAAAAAAAAACAACAATCGGATTCCCATGGTTTTTAACCACAATCAATATTCCACACACTTATTCATAATTTAAAAATGATTACAAGAACCTCCAATTAGACAACAAGATCAAAGACATTTTCGATAAACCACCCATAAATGCAATGAAACAATCACCTAACTTATCAGCTATCCTCACCTCTACCAAATATCTAAACAATAGAAACCAAACAGGAAATTACAAATGTAACAAACCTCGTTGCTTAGTTTGCAAACATTTAGTAATAGCTAATACATTTACGTACCCAACACCAATATCAGGATACAGCCACCTAACCTCACCTGCGATACCCATAACGTAATCTATTATTTATTCTGCAACTTATGTCCTAATAGTGGATATATTGGTGAGTCTGGAAACAATTTTAGATTTCGTTTTAATAACCATAAACAAACAATACGTCAAAACAACCCTTATTCCCCATAGCTAAACACTACAATCAATCAGGACACACATTAGAAAACTGCAAATGTTTATTAATAGATTCCGATTTTACTTCCACATTCACACGCAGAAAAAAAGAAACATATTGGATTTTAAAATTAAATACACATAAATTAGGGTTGAATAGGGACTTAGGTGTTTTAAATCTTTATAAATATTTCAATAGCTAAGCAATTTCTTTAGATATAGTAAAAAATATTTTTTTAAATATTTATGACAGTTAGATTTAAGTTAGGAATATCTGAACAGTGACGTTCCATATCACGTGACGTCCGCGTCTCGCGAAGGACGCTACTTGCCAACAAACAGTAATTTTAATTTATTTGTAACAAACAGTTATTTCTGATGAAAAATTGAGGACAATTTGAAATATCAAATATATATATAAATAAATAAATACTTTCAAAAAATAAAACATTATAATTTTAATTTGAAACTTTTTCTATATATACATATTAAGAAAGTATACGTGGCTTCTCATTATGCTATATATATATATATATATATATATATATATATATTTATTAAAGACATTTTTATTTATGTTTAACGTTGTTATTTTTATAGATACAAGTATTTAAGCAAATGCTCTGTTTATGATAAACAGTATTAAATAACATTTACCGGCCTGAATGTCCGAGAAATTTTCATAGAAAATATTCGTTCATAGACAGGATTCGAACCTGCATCCTATACGGAACCGCCATATACGCTGGCGTGCCTTGACCACTCGGCCACCATGAACCTTATGGTAGACAAGGTCGAATTTACTGTTATAAATACAATCTTCCATGAATATACATTCATAACTGCTCTGGCGTATCGAATGTAAACAAATGACGTCATATGTTAAGAAATGGACGAGGTCCGACAATTTATTTATTAAAGACATTTTTATTTATGTTTAACGTTGTTATTTTATAGATACAAGTATTTAAGCAAATGCTCTGTTTATGATAAACAGTATTAAATAACATTTACCGGCCTGAATGTCCGAGAAATTTTCATAGAAAATATTCGTTCATAGACAGGATTCGAACCTGCATCCTATACGGAACCGCCATATACGCTGGCGTGCCTTGACCACTCGGCCACCATGAACCTTATGGTAGACAAGGTCGAATTTACTGTTATAAACTACAATCTTCCATGAATCTCGTACATTCATAACTGCTCTGGCGTATCGAATGTAAACAAATGACGTCATATGTTAAGAAATGGACGAGGTCCGACAATTTATTTATTAAAGACATTTTTATTTATGTTTAACGTTGTTATTTTTATAGATACAAGTATTTAAGCAAATGCTCTGTTTATGATAAACAGTATTAAATAACATTTACCGGCCTGAATGTCCGAGAAATTTTCATAGAAAATATTCGTTCATAGACAGGATTCGAACCTGCATCCTATACGGAACCGCCATATACGCTGGCGTGCCTTGACCACTCGGCCACCATGAACCTTATGGTAGACAAGGTCGAATTTACTGTTATAAATACAATCTTCCATGAATCTCGTACATTCATAACTATGGCGTATCGAATGTAAACAAATGACGTCATATGTTAAGAAATGGACGAGGTCCGACAATTTATTTATTAAAGACATTTTTATTTATGTTTAACGTTGTTATTTTTATAGATACAAGTATTTAAGCAAATGCTCTGTTTATGATAAACAGTATTAAATAACATTTACCGGCCTGAATGTCGAGAAATTTTTCATAGAAAATATTCGTTCATAGACAGGATTCGAACCTGCATCCTATACGGAACCGCCATATACGCTGGCGTGCCTTGACCACTCGGCCACCATGAACCTTATGGTAGACAAGGTCGAATTTACTGTTATAAACTACAATCTTCCATGAATCTCGTACATTCATAACTGCTCTGGCGTATCGAATGTAAACAAATGACGTCATATGTTAAGAAATGGACGAGGTCCGACAATTTATTTATTAAAGACATTTTTTATTTATGTTTAACGTTGTTATTTTTATAGATACAAGTATTTAAGCAAATGCTCTGTTTATGATAAACAGTATTAAATAACATTTACCGGCCTGAATGTCCGAGAATTTTTTCATAGAAAATATTCGTTCGAACCTGCATAGACAATTGAACGGCGACCATTATAGACAGTAAAACCGCCATAGCATTGGCGTGGTAAATGACCACTTATATCGATAAAAATAACTTATTTGAACAATAAATTCGACCTTGTCTACATTCAGGCCGGTAAAGGTTCATGGTGGCCTGTTTATCATGCATTTGCGGTATCTATAAAAATAACAACGTTAAACATAAATCCATTAATAAATAAATTGTCGGACTCAAAATATATATATATATATATATATATATATATATATATATATATATATATATAAGGGTTATTGTTATGGTAAATTACCCATACACGGATGGACTCTTCAAGTTACAAATAAAAGCAGGTGCTGCTTTTGTCAGAGAGAGTTTTTCCCCAACTTGGCAGTTCGGACTTAACATTCTTGCTCGTTTGTATATTATTGTATTACCGATTTTCGTTAATATATTTGTTAACTCAAATCCACTATTGTGTCTTTATTCTGAAGCCTACAGGGCCACAACCGTTATCTTTAGGCAAAGGCTAGAAGAAGGTAACTTCAAAAACAAATCCGCCTCTGAGAGGAGGGACAGAGTAAACTCAGCATCCTCGGTGCAAAACGAACCGGCAAGCCATTGCACTATTTTGCCTTGAATGTCACCATGAACCCCAATTGTGTGAGGAGAGGAGTGATGACTGCGGCGGTGCAAAATACGATAACTGAATAAAATTATGTGAAATTTGTTTGTTTTTTTTTTTTTTTTTTCATTTGAATCAGGTTTTTAAAAATATTTTTGATGCAGGTATATATGAAGAATTTAAATAATGAAAATTTTCAAACCTTTTCATATTTGCTATCTTTTTTTTTTTTAGAAAAACCATCTTGTTCAGCCCGAATAATCCAGCCAAAATATACAATTGACTCACCTGCAATTCAAAAATGAAAAAAACAATTATTAGTTTTCATTGCGTACAGGGATAAAACATAGAATTTATTGTGTCTGGTATTTATTCAGAAAGGATTACGGAAACGTATAATACCACCGCCAGATTATTCAATACGCTCATCGTATGTATTTGCTCTTCTCTTGACCTTTGTGTGTATCTTCCCAGTCTCTCCCTTATCCCTCCCAATACAACTAAGATTATCTATTATCTCATGCCTCTTCTCTTCTCTCATTCTCTGCCTGTATCTACTCATTCTCTTCCTTATCCTTCATAATACAACTAAGGTTATCCATTATATCGTTATTTACATTATTCGGACTATTGTCCTTATCTTTGTCGCTATATTTATTACAACGTTTCGGCTGAATGTCGAACTGAACCCTTTATTTCGCTCACTGGGGTAGACTGTTCTAGTTCCACGTGTCATGTTTAATGTATGTCAGTTATCAGTTATCTCCTGTTAATTTTCCCTCTGAAAATTCCCGGGTATTGAACTCACACTCTTTGGGTCCTGTCACTGGATCTAACCAACGCCTTTATCCACTGTGCCATGCGTCAATTTAACAGGAGATAACTGATAACTGACATCCATTAGACATGGCACGTGGAACTAGAACAGTCTACCCCAGTGAGCAAAATAAAGGGTTCAGTTCGACATTCCAACCACCTGAAGAAGGCCGGAGCGTACAACGGCCGAAACGTTGTAATAAATATGACGATAAAGATGAGGACAATAGTCCGAATAATGTAAATAATGTACATAATACCTCATCTCAGAAATATAGACAGACCATTATCTCATGACTCTGCTCTTCTCTCGCCATTTGCCTGTATCTTCCTATTCTCTCCCTTATCCCTCCCAATACAATTAAGATTATCTATTATCTCATGACTCTGCTCTTCTCTCGCCCTTTGCCTGTATCTTCCCATTCTCTCCCTTATCCCTCCCAATACAATTAAGATTATCTATTATCTCATGACTCTGCTCTTCTCTCGCCCTTTGCCTGTATCTTCCCATTCTCTCCCTTATCCCTCCCAATACAATTAAGATTATCTATTATCTCATGACTCTGCTCTTCTCTCGCCCTTTGCCTGTATCTTCCTATTCTCTCCCTTATCCCTCCCAATACAATTAAGATTATCTATTATCTCATGACTCTGCTCTTCTCTCGCCCTTTGCCTGTATCTTCCCATTCTCTCCTTATCCCTCCCAATACAATTAAGATTATCTATTATCTCATGACTCTGCTCTTCTCTCGCCCTTTGCCTGTATCTTCCCATTCTCTCCTTATCCCTCCCAATACAATTAAGATTATCTATTATCTCATGACTCTGCTCTTCTCTCGCCATTTGCCTGTATCTTCCCATTCTCTCCCTTATCCTCCCAATACAATTAAGATTATCTATTATCTCATGACTCTGCTCTTCTCTCGCCATTTGCCTGTATCTTCCCATTCTCTCCTTATCCCTCCCAATACAATTAAGATTATCTATTATCTCATGACTCTGCTCTTTCTCGCCATTTGCCTGTATCTTCCCATTCTCTCCCTTATCCCTCCCAATACAATTAAGATTATCTATTATCTCATGACTCTGCTCTTCTCTCGCCATTTGCCTGTATCTTCCCATTCTCTCCCTTATCCCTCCCAATACAATTAAGATTATCTATTATCTCATGACTCTGCTCTTCTCTCGCCATTTGCCTGTATCTTCCCATTCTCTCCCTTATCCCTCCCAATACAATTAAGATTATCTATTATCTCATGACTCTGCTCTTCACTCGCCATTTGCCTGTATCTTCCCATTCTCTCCCTTTCAGTGTTCATAACCCGTAAACGTTACTAGCCTATTGTCTTTTGATATTCAGCAATCAGAAGGGTCGTACATACAAACAGAGTAATTGAACAGATTTTACAAATACAATAATGTAGTAACTATTATAAATATATTTTCCACTGATTATGTAAATGTCCTAAAAAATCAGAATTAAAAGACCCCAGGCTAAAGATATTGACTATAATAAACCACTTGCTGCTAACTGAACCACACACACACACACACACACAGAGAGAGAGAGAGAGAGAGAGAGAGAAATACATTTATGTTGCATCTCTCTGACCATAGCTCAATTAGATCTCATTTAAATACATATAGAGACCTACCAAATTACATTCGCAACATACTTGTTGATAATACAAATATAATAGCCTCATCAACATGTAAAAAAATGCAAAAAATAATAGAAGCATTATTAACGAAAAATAAAAAAACTAACACGCAATAATATCAACTATGAACACGGCCACAATGTGCTGACCGTGTTTGGAAAATAAAACATTCCTAAAACTGTAGATACATACACAAAAATTCATACATTCAGTTAAAAGTAAAAATAAAAATCATCCTTCATAATGACTAAATGTAACTCAGACATACAAAACATTCGGGCAAAATTTCTATGTAATTTATAGCCAAAAAAGAAAATTATAAAACAAGAAAAATTAAATAAAGAAAAACTAACCGCAATATCTTGCCATTTATTTTTAATGAAACTTGTACAAAAGAGGAATTGCTGCCCAAATACACAATATATATATATATATATAGAGAGAGAGAGAGAGAGAGAGAGGGGAGAGAGGGAGAAAGAGAGATGTGTGTGTGTGTGTGTGTGTGTGTGTGTGTGTGTGTGTGTGTGTGTAGCAGTCTGACTTTTATAAAGTTTTGGTTGAAGAACACAGACAGGGTACGGTAATTAAAATTTTATTATATTTTTCTTGCATTCAAACAAGTGATTTCTTATCCGGGCATAAAGGGTGTAGAAACTGTCCAAATGGTCTGTGGCCCTGAGCACTTTCTCTCTAATCTACAAGCCATTATCAAGCTTTTTTATTTTTGGTCTGAATATATAGATTTTTACATTTTTATAACAATAAGAATCGTTTATTTTACGATTTAATGTGTATGTGTGTTAGTGTGCTTACGTTGGTGTGGGTATGTGCGTGTGTCGCTATATATATATCTGATATGGCGATATATCCGACATGGTGATATATATATATATATATTTATATATATATATATATATATATATATATATATATCATACCATAATTATATATATATATATGTATATGTGTGATATATATATATATCACACCATGTCGTATATATCGCCATATCGGATATATATAGCGACACACACACACGCACACACACACACACACGCACACACGTAAGCACAAAAACAGTTATCTGCTTGGCCACCTCGGACAGCGGCACTGACGGTGTAGCATCGATCGCTGCGATTTGCATTCGAACAAGTTCCCGACGATAATACGCTTTGAATGAACGAATGATGCCTTGATCCAAAGGTTGAATGAGACTGGTGGTGTTTGGTGGCATGAACGACAAGTTGATGTTTGACAGATTTGTACCCGGCGGTAAGTTATGACAAGTTGCATTGATCAAAAACAGAATAATCTTTCGATTTTGAGCAATCATTTTTTGATCAAGCGTTTTCATAACGTCAGTAAACAGCTGACTAGTCATCCAGGCTTTACGATTAGCGAAGTAAGAAAACGGCAGAGTTTTGACATTTTTAAAGCAGCGTGGTTTTGCCGACTTACCAACAACTACAGCTTGCTTTTCACTGCCGTCCATGTTTGTGAACTGAAGCATCGTGAGTCTGTCTTTGGGAACTTTTGTTCTATTTGACTGTTCGTCGCCGGCAAATCGCAAAGATCCAGCAACATCTTTTGGATCATATCCACGAAAAAGTTGCGGCAAAATGTTTGTCACCCATTCGTTGGCAGAACCGTGATCTGCTGACGTTGATTCGCCGTGAAATTTTTTGAACGAAACGTTATTGGCCTGCTTCCAGCGCATGAGCCAGCCATTGCTGGGTTCAAAATCAACTTCAAGATTTACGGTCAGTTGTGATGCTTTCTGCCTGATGACGTGATCGATGAGGGTAGCTCCATGAGCACATACTTGCGTAAACCATTGTGTAAGCGCTTCGTTAACGTCCTTGTGCACGGGTTGGCGCTTCCGTTTGCGATTAGTGTTTCCGTTCATTTGCATGCAAAATCTGAGATCGTCTTCTTTCTTGAGAATTTTTGCTGCTGTTGAATAACCGATCCGTACTTTTTGGCTGCAGCGGCCAGTTTGAGTTTCTTCACTTTGACATCGTCGATGAGCTCCAACTGTTCAGAAATGCTCAGAGTTTTTCGTTGAGACGCCGACATCACTAATCGCAATGATCGCAAGCAAACGGTTTTCAGTGGCAAAATTAACAAACAGACAAACTTCTGACTCAACAGAACAGTGGGTAAAGTGAAAGTGCTGTCCAGTAAATGCAACGACAAGCAAAGTCGGCAAAAAAGCGGGAGGCGCTACCCTTAGACACACAAAGCAAAATCATAAGGTAGAGGGTGTCTCCTACAGACACAGATTGAACACACCGTGTCTCTAGACTAGTCAAGATTAAGTCATTGAACTTCACTCTCTCTCGAACTGACCTCTGTTTGACCGATTTACAACATCACACTGTCACTCAAAACGAACTCTCTTATATCGGGGAGGACGGGACCAGAGAAAATCTCTCTTATATCCGGGTTTCTCTTATATCCGGGTCTAATTTATATACATTAACACAGGCTCTAATTTGGGACCAGAAAATCTCTCTTATATCCGGGTTACACTGTATATATATATATATATATATATATAATATATATATATATATATATATATATATATATATATATATATATATATAAGGCAGGACGTGTGTGTGTATATGTAGCGAATGCACGGCCGCAATTTTCGACGGATTTGCACCAAAATTTACATGCACATGCTCCAAGTTAGTGGAAAGGCCAAGACCGTTCCAAACTCCCATCGATAGTCGAAATAATCGATTTTTCATGCTTCTACGGCAATTTTCATGTAGTTTGCGGCCATTTTCTACTGACTAGAATGAGAGCCTATAGCTGGCTGCCACGAATAGGCAGGAAGATTCTATTGGCCAGCGTGAGAGCCAACAGCTGACTGACACGAATGTTAACTAGCATGCTAGCATGCAAAAAAATCGGTAGCTGCATTCGTCACAAGTGGGAAAAATTTAAATCTGCATGGCACTTTACTCCAATTGGCTCATTCGCTTGCTTAAACCCAACGTTGATTCTGATTCCGCAGAACTGGGTTGGGTGTGAAAAAGTATTTGTTCTTAAAATTCTTTTTTCATTCGGTTTTTCCAATTGCGAGTTCTTTTTTAAAGCTGGTCGTTTTGTGTTCATTTTGTTTAGTTCTTTTTTCGTAACAGATTTAATGTTTAGTATAGAGCTTAGAAAAAATTCGCAGTGTGAGATAGGCAAGAAGTAAGGCATGTAGCAATATCAGCACGGCAAAGGGCACTCATTTAAAGGAAAGGAAGGGCAGAAATATTTCAAGTCAAGTGATAGCGATTGCTGTATGAGTCGTACGATTTTTTTTTTATCAAGCACGGGCAACGCCGGGCCATGCTATATATATATATATATATATATATATATATATATATATATATATATATACGATATGGGAAATTGCAATACATATATGTTTATTTCTTATAGGTGGTACCTCTGCCAACGTAACCAGAGATGCCGTCATCCAATAATGATGTCGGTATCACGAAAAAATTACTGGTTGTTTTGACACCAACTTACAGTTTTACACAATCAATTGTCGTTGCGATAACCAACGACATTTCCGACACGCATCGCAACACAGGGAATTATATTGAAGTATGAGCGTGTCTATACACGCTCATACTTCAATATAATTAGGTGCCAATCGAGCAGAAATTGGTAGGACATATCAAGTAATATGTTTGTATATGTTAACAAAAGTCAACGGAAATTGGCGTGCGTATTTCGTATTTGTTATATGCTGTATTACAAAACACATAAAAACACATCAGCGGCTGAGGCATAACTCTTTGGGGTGTAGATCTAAAGTTCCCCGAGACCGAAGGATGCTACACACAGTTGGTTCTATTTGCTTGAATTCTTTCTTAAGAAAGTTTCAAAATGTTTATTTTGACACACCTTGAATTGTTGGATGCCAGATTAATGCTTTCAAATGTTATTAATAAGTTAAACTAAGGTCTTAAAAAGCAAGTGGATGAAAAAAATAACATATGTTTTAGGAAATCAACCCTACACGCAAACCACCAATCTGCCACTGGGTGGAATAACATGAGTGTTTACCTCCGTCGGCCCACTGATGGACCGCCGGTGTGCTCGTCTCGGCAATGTTACAACCATTATCGGCCCACCAGCGGGCCACTAGCGTCTTGCGTGTAGGGAAAACTCCATGAAGAATAGAATGCTGGAGGGGAGTGATCTTTCTTCAAATATTTTCATTACTACTGTTCTGACGAGCTTTCTTCCCCTGGCGCCCCGACTACATGATTTTAAACCTGCTACTAGACTAGCATCTAGGTCCCACCCTTTTACGGTTGAATTAGTTAACTGTAACCGCCACTTCTACCCTAAAAGTTTCTTTTCCCGCACTTGCCGACATTTGAACTCCCTTCCTCTCACTTGATAACTACAATATTCACAAATTTAAATGTAACGTCAATCGCCATCTTCTGTTGCCTTGATCCCTGTCCT